CTAGTACTTTTAGTATACCCCTGCTTTGAACCAAGACTCCCAATCCAGATAGCCCGGAAGGACTGTGACCTGTCCTTGGTATATTGAGGCTGGCCCAATATCCTTTTCCTCTAGTCCGAAATCTGGCGGCCTGGTTGGTAGTACCCCTCACCCGAGGTTCTTGCCTGCTCGAATCCTTCACATTAGTATCCATTTCCTAGGTCTAGCCTTTACAGTAGTACCATTGAAGATCTGTGTTACCTCTCTGCTTGGAATTTCCAAGTGGGCTCTGGCTTCCTAGTTTTACGGATTTACATAGCCCGAGGACTTATTTTAGGTTTGCACCGCCTGGTACCAGTTTGCATTCCTTTATGTAACAGGTTACACAGATGCCCCAGACCTGCCAGTCATACTGGTGCAACCATAGTTACAGGTATCCTATCCCAACTGATCGACAGAATGCCATCGCCATAATACCGTCTATATATTACATAGGTGATTATTCAAATTTTGCCGTCAGTGGGTTTTGAACTCACAACCTACCACTTGGGGGTATGACAACTTATCCACTTCACTAAGTTGCCATACCCTCTTGCACAAGACTTTGATTACAACCATTTCAAATAAAGAATTATAAATTATTGATACATTTTCTTTAATTGATTTTCTAATTCTGGATATTCTTTAACTAACAAATTAAAATATGCACAAATATCATCTAAATTCATTGATTCACTTTGTAAATCATTAGTCATTTTTGAAAAATATTTAAGTTGATTAATAAATCATCAACTTCATTTAAATTTAATTGTTCAATTAACAAAATATCATGACCTAAAAAATAAAAAATAAATAAAAAATAAATAAAATAAAAAAATAAAATAAAAAAAACAATAAAATAAATAAAATTATATAAATCTAAAAATTCATTAACTTGTATAATGTAAAGAAGTTCTTTATATCATTTAATTATTTTTAATTCACTTATCTAACAGGTTGCATTATCTAATTTAGCTTTTAATGATATCACTTTTGCAAACTTTCTATGATTTTTATATGTTTGTATCATAATTATAATTATATGAATTTGATTTACAATAGTAGTTGAAGAATTAATAAGATCATTAACTGCTAAATTTAAATGATGCAATGCACATCCTATAAGCAGAAGATCCAAATCAGTAGTTATTTTTTTGTTAGTGCTACAGTTATTCTCTGAAATAAATAAGATATTTTTAACATTTTTATTATATGATTCTAAAATATTTTCAAAAAATTTGATATGTGTATCTGTACTCTAAGTAATACAATCTTCAAATGACAAAAATCTTAGTAAAACTAAATTTCTGAATTTATGTACAGTTTGATAAACATCAAATAATTCAACAAAATGAATTCTGTTACTTGTCTATCCATCAAACATAATTCCAATCTTTTTAAATAAAATATTTTTTTATTTTTTCTCATACAATATTTATCAAACTATTAAAATACTTACTAATTATAGAAGTATCTAATTTTGAAAGACCAGTATATGCAATAAAATCTAAATTTTCACATGCATTAAATGGAATTGATACTTTACAATAAGACATATTCAGTTAAAAATATTATGCAAATTTGTGTTATAATTAAGTATGTTATTATTTGTCATAGAAGAGCTAGTACATTCAACATGTTGTTGGTAAATAAACTTGAAATTTTTGTGCTTAACCTCTAAATGGTTCATTAAATTTATATAACTAACTCCTTTTTTTTGTAAGATTAACTGTGATCCAGAAGGACACAAATTACATTGATGCTTGCTATCAGTCATAGGTTCAAAAAAGGTCTCACAATAATATTTGTTTAACCTTTTTACACTCATTGAAACACATGTAAAAGTGAAAATTTTGTATATACTATTTTGATATATAGATATGTGCTTTTTAAAGCTTTGTTATTGCCGTAAATATGATGTAATTTTTTATAATACATAATGATAATTGCAATTAATTGACTAATTGTGGCTACACCACCAATTAATTAATTGTAGTTAAATAATTGCAATTAATTTTCCACTACAATAAATTATTCAGTATGTCTGATTTTAGCAGAGCTTGTATTTTCAAATTAAGACCCAACTTTCAGCATCAGCTGTAACAATAAAGAATATAATCATTTATATAATATTGCAAAATTACCAGTAATTTTTTTTTGAATTTACCTTATAATATAAGGTGCACATATGGTGCTTTATTAAGCAATTTGATAGAAGTACAATTGTGCTATTTTGTTATATTATTTACAATTTTTTAAAAATTTTTGGGCCTTGATAGGCCTTTATTTACTGATAGGTAGAGTTGTTGTAGAACAGCAAGTTCATTATTTAAACAGTTTGTAACGATAGCTGAAGCATTACACTAGTTAATTGTAATATTACCTCATTTAGACGATATGTATAGACACCAGATTTTGTAAACTATATTGACGTGGAGCCATTTGATTGCCTCTCTGGTTTTGGGTAAGAGCGGTTGGGAGAGAAAGATAACTTCTTTAAGAGAGGTAGGTATTGTTATGCTTGGAATATTTGCTAGCATTTTGTACCCAAAGTTCTAGGTTTGTTTGCTAATAGGACATTCCAGGACAAAGTGATCTATATTTTGTAGAACCTCCTCACACCAGGTACAGTTGCCATCCTCGGATGCTATCATGTGTCTTAATCAGTATCCTAGGGGAAGAGCCCTATGAAGAAGCTGCCATAATATGTCCGTTTTTTTGTTGGGTATCCAGTTGCAGTAAAGTAGTGAATTTGTCTATGGGGTTTGTAGTTCTATAAGCCAGTTGTTTTGCGAAGTTGTTGCAGTAATGGATTTGTTTCTAAGGAATTAAACTGTTTTTTTTACTGTATAGAGGCTGCCTCATTCGTGTGCTAGAGTGATGGAATCTAGCATCCAGGGCCAAGTCTCTTCATTTCTATTTATTGACCCTTCTACTTTTTTCCAGGCCTTCACAAATGGTTTCCATCTGGTCGGCCAGGCCTTAGTTCAGATAGGGATGAAGGAGAGAGCCGAATTGACTGAAATTCCCCTGTCATTATACATTTTCTGTGTAATGTTGACTCTTTCCACACTTGCTCATAGTGAAATTCCAGATAAAAGCCTTATCCAGATATTAATCATGTGAGCTGTAAGAATATCTGTGATAACTGATGCTTGTAAGCCATATATCAGATATGATTGTTGAAAGGTTGAATAGCGTAGTAATGTATGTGAGCCTTGTTTAATGTAATCTATAAAGAATTTGTTTAGTTCTAAGATTTGTTTACAAGACAGGGGCATCAGGGTAGCTATATACCAAATGCAAGAGATAACTAGTGAATTGACTATGAGTATGCAGCCTTTTAGAGATAAGTTTCAGGCAGCTAACCTATTTAAAAGATTTCTTATTTTTTGTATATTATTAGACTATAGTGTTTTGGGAACATAATCTTTACTGTCTATGGGATACCCTAGCATTGTGATTGTTCCATCCTGTTGCAAGGTTTTAAAGGCTTCTGCATTGGAGAGTTCTACACTTTTGCATTTTCTGTAAGAGGGACAATGATGGATTTGTGTTTGTTTAGCTGTGCATTAAAGGCTTTTTTATAGTATATTAAGGTTTTATTAAAGGAAATCCAGTCCAAGAGTGAGCCTAAGCCTATGGTCAAGTTATCTGCATAGGCTGCAGCTTTGAAAACATTATTTTGAATAAGGATGCCATGGAGTTTACTAGTAAGTTTCTGCAAAAAAGACTCAAAAGGTATAGTAGGGGTGAAAGTAGGTCACCTTGGCAAACCCTTTATTTATATTGAACGGTTCAGGAAGCATTCCATTGTCCGTGATATGAACATGTTGTTTGTTAAAGAGACTTTTGATTACTGTTATAAAGGTGGAGGAGAAGCCCATTTATTATAAGGTTAGTAAAAGGAAAGTATAATTCATTCGATCAAAGGCTTTCCATTGATCGAAGAATAGCATTCAGTTTGACTTGGTCTGATCTATGGTATTTCTCATCATGGTGATCACATCTAGTACAGCATCCATTATAGACCTCTCTGCAATGAAGCCTTGTTGATGTAGTCCAATTAATTTGTAGCATATCGGGTTTAGGGGGTTTGCCAATATTTTCATAAAGATTTTGACATCTGAGTTGACTAGAAAGATTGGTCTTCAGTTGTTCACATCCTCTAGGTTGTCTGATTTTTTTGGAATAAGCGTAATAATGTTTTTACATCAAGAGCTGGGAAGTTCTCCTAAACTGAGCACTTTGTTAAAAACTTTTGTCAGAATAGGAACTGTGGTTTTCACTATATCTTTATAGAACTCATATGTAAGACCATCTGCATCAGGAGCTTTGTTGTTGAGTAAATTTTGAATGATCTTCTGTACCTTCTCCTCTGTTATTTGTTTAATTAGTGATGTGTTTTGAGTTGTAGTGACTTGTATAAGATTTGTCATTAGGAGATCAGCTGCTCTTGTGTTGTGAGCTTCTTTTTGATAAATTTCTTTATATGCTTTTTGAATATAGTAAAGGACTTTGCCAGGTTCATTCTTCTGTGGTGCATATGGGTTCTTAATTTTGGTGGTTGCTAAGTGTGAGTGGTTTAGCTTGTACTTAGAGAAAAAGTATTTTGTGGGCTTTTCTCCTTCTTCTATCCAGTGGCTTTTGGATCTGAGCTGCCATTTTTCTGCTAATAATTCTGTTTTTTGTTGTAGTTGCGAGGTAAGTAGTGTTTTTATAAACTAAAGATTGTTACAGTTGGAGTTGGTTGCCAATTTGGAGTTAATTTTAACTATCTGATTGTTGAGTTTGTCAATTTGGATTTCTGGAGTATGGGGAAGGTGGAATGCTCGAAAAATTGATTGGATTCTTATTTCTAACTCTGATGTGACTTCAGATTTAATGTGTTGATTTGTGAACTGTCTTCTGTTGTATTTCCATAGTGCAGAAGGTGGTGTATCATTGCTGAAGTCTAGGTTACCTTCTACTAACTGATGGTCTGAGTTGCCAGATTTTGTGGTGACTGATCTGCAGATACTTATGTATTCTTTGTATATAAAAATATAGTCCAGCTTGGTCAACATTACATTACTGTTTTGGATGTTTTGCTAAAAGATTATAAAGAGGTGTGTTCCTATATGTGTGGCTAGGCCAATGAAATTTTTCATCTTGTTTTCTATTAATTGTTGTGAGGGATCGTTATGTAGCGGGAACTGACTAATTCTGTCTAGTAAGGCACTAAGGTTAGTATTAAAATCACCAGCCACAATGTTGATTGAGTTAGGATCGATTGTTGGTGACCAGCTACTAAAAAAATGAAACTTTCTTGTATATAAGGAGAGGCATAGATATTAGTTATATTGAACATCCTTTGTTTAATCCTACATTAAGTCATAAGAACTCTTCCTTTATATATAGTCTTAATATTGCTAAGTTTTATATTTTTGCTTCCTGTTAAAATTGCCATCTTATCCATCTATACGAAGTCATAACTCCATTGTTGTTTAATAAAATTTTGTGTTCTTTCGTTTGTAAGGTTAGTTTCTTGAAGAAATATGATGTCATATCTATAGGATTTTAGTAAGATAAGTGTTTGTTGTCTTTTTGGTAAACTGTTGAGACCCTTTACATTAAGGGTTGCTATTTTGACTTTTTGATTGTTCATGATAATTGGGTATAGAAAACAAGTTTTACATTAGTTAGATTCTGTGTTTTGTTCTGACTTGTATAGAGAGCAGATCGGTTATTTCTACTAACAGTTCCATTATTACTTTTATTTCTTTTATTTTTTTTACTTTTGTCCTTTACTAACTCAAATGTTAAATCTTGTTGAGGGTTGTCTGTCTCCATATTTGCTATGTCATCTTCATGTAGGATTGTGGTTTCTTGACTTTTTTACTCCTGCATTAATGTTTCTAGGTCTGTCATATGACCATTCTCTTCATCAGTGTCCATATCAGAGAGGCTTTCCTGTTGATTGTCTGTTGTATTGTTTTGTATTGTTTCTTCTGTTTGTGATGCTGGGGCTTCTTCTTGGGTGTTAATAGCTTGCATGTTTATTTGGCCAGCCTCCATTGTTTGTTTAATTTCATTAATCATTGTAGTGAAGTTTTGTGACACTGAATTTTCTGGTAATGTTATATTTTTATTCTCTTTGTTGGTTCTGTAAGCTGCTTTGATTTTCTGTGCTTCTTTGTATTGTAGGCACTCCCTTTTAATGTAACCTTTTGTATCACAAAAAAAGCAGAGTTTGGGTGCCTCCTGCCACTCTGTAGTAACTTTTTGGTCCATAATCGTTACAAACCTTGGTAGCCGTTTAGTTATTTCTGGGTCATCAGTAATGTCAAATATTACCATCCACTGGTTACTTAGAATAAACATGCCCTCAAAAACAAGGAGTTTGATAGATGAAATTTTGTCTACATATTCAAAAGTTTCCTTAATTTCCTTTGTAATTTCCTCTTGAAAATCGATAAGAATGTTTTTGAGTTTTATTGATAGATAAGAGTTTTTTGTATTGGTGAGAATATAACCTAAAAAGGTTTGGTTAAATATTTTGATACCTTCTGAGCTGTATTTTTGTACATCTTCAAAGGTTTTAAAAACGATTTCAAGGTATATCCTGGTTCCTTTCGTAAAGTGTAGTTTTATACTTATGATATCCTTGCCGATGCTTCAGTTTAGAATAGTTACAATCTCATTTATAGGTAGGTTGTCAATAGTATGGATATCAAACATGACTGCTCTATTGTTTTTAGTAGTGATTTGATTACATACAAAGTAAGTGAAATAAGTTGAGGAGCCTCTGGTAAGTTTTGTAAATAAGCCTGCCCATGTCTTTTTTTGGGAAGAGCACCATGTGGGTTATTTTCCTTTGGAGTCTGTGTTACTGAGCTTGAACTTGAGTTATATGTTGTGTTCTGTAAGTTATCTGTAGGGGTTATCTGTGTTAGCACTGATTGGGTTTGTGATTGAGTTGGGTCATTTGTGCCCCGAGTTTTGTGATTTGCTGTTTGGAGCTTATCCCCCACATTTGACACTGTTTCCATTGGGATGGCTAGAGAAATTTTGAAGCTTCACTACTTGGCCTGATGGGAGAAGCTCTGCTTTGTGACTCTATTCCATCTTCCATTTCATCCTCCCAGTTTTCCTTTGGTTTAGTGGGGAGGCTTGCTTTTGGCTGTCCCAAAACTGTTTCTATACGATTTTTGGGAGTGGAGGAACTGGTCTTTGTTAAGAAGGAGCAGGGGATCTTTCCTTCTTCCATAAAATTTATATGCTGTATCTTGGGTACCTTTCTGATATTATTTAATAGTTTTCCTTCTTCTAGCCTTTTACGTTTTTTAGGACCAAAGGCCTCAGCCCTTGCTGATGTATTACTGTTATCGTCTTTTTCTTTCTGGTTTGCGATGTTTGTCTAGCTTGATGCACCCGGCCTCAGAACAAGGAAGAGTGCAGAAAAAAATTTTTTTTTTTAATTGCCAGTATTTGAGCATCAAATCATTGGAAAAGGTCTTGTCCTTGAGTTACATAACAAATTTTAGTAGACCGAATAATTTCCATCATTTGAAGGTATAAATTCTATAAATATACAACATTTATGGATAAAACATGGAATAAAAAACACGAATTAACTTTTTTTATAGGGATATAATTGATTAATTTTGCTTTACACAAATTTTCAACAGCAAGATTTATTTTTTAAATATGCATATAATATAAACTTCTAAAAGGAATAATTGTAGTTTAAATTTCGGTTATCCACGTAGAATATAGCACGTGCAAAGAAGAAAAAGAAAAATTCTCCTAACACTCTATAACTATATATATTAACATTCTCGTAGTTGGTTAATTATCAGTTAGAAGTTGACAATACAACATTGTAAAAATATATGGTATTAAGACATTGTATCAATACGGAATGTGCTGTAATGTCGCAATGCAGTAATATCAATAAAAGCTACGTTGGAGCTGTTATAATGAAGTATTGGATGAATCATATTACCCATCCTGCTCGATGATTGAAGCACCTAATTACATGTGGCATGTAATTCCTGATCAATTTTCCGCCTTTTCGATCCGTGACTTATTGTTCCATCAATTGAAATTTCGCAATTCATTAAATCAGAGTCTACATTACATATATATAAACATATTAAATAATATAATAACGATAACTTAAACAAATACTTCTAGTGCAAATAATTACCCATATATTTATTAAGTCTGTCGCTTCTTTCTTTATAATGTTGAGCTATATCACGTGTATTGATAAATTTGCTCGTGTATACGATATCAGGATGTCATTGCAAAGTTATTGAAAGATCTGGAATTCTCATGTCGGCATTCATAAATTCAATGATAATTTGTCTTTCATCGGGTTCATCTGATTCATCAGATTCATCATCTGATTTATTAGATTCATCAGGTTCATCGGATTGATTCATAAAGTCATGCCATTCTGAAATTTTAGAATGGATTATTTCAGCATTAGGTCGTTGTAGATCTGAATGCATACATAGATTTGCCAATTCAATATAGCATCTAGGGGTCCCTAAATCAATGTCAGGTCTTTTTCCACAACAAATTTCTAATGCAAGTTCAATATCAAATGAACGTCCATAAAATGGACGCATTCCAGTAGTCATCTCTACCATAATAACACCGAAACTATATATATCGGCTGCTGATGTATATTCCTGGCCTAATAAAACCTCAGGGGCAATGTAAGGCATGACCCCATAAATACCATTTTTTAAAATGCATTCTTCATTTTTTCGAGACAATCCCAAATCTGCAATATAGGATTTTAACAAACCAAGCCATGATCCTTCTTTATGCTGTAAAATATTACCGCAGTGAAGGTCACAATGTATGTAACCTGCTTGGTGAATTTTAATTAAATCTTTTGAAATATCAATTAATATTGATAATTTATCTTCCCAAATAAGCGTTTTAAAATTTAAGGTTAGATAATTATGAAGATCTCCTTTATTAGCATATTGAATCACCATCATATATTCTCCCGTTTCTGTATTTTTCGTTAATCCATATACTACAAGCCTGCTACCACTTAATCTACAATACATATGACTTTTAAACTAATAAAAAATAAAATTTGCGTTTATTAATTATACGTTATAGATAAATAAATAAATAAATTAACTTTGACTTACTTCTTTTAAAAAGTCATTAGAATTTTTTGTTGATCCAGGTAAAGTTTTGAGTGCTACCTTAATAAATTGTGGAGAACGTATATTATCATTTTCATTTGAAGTATTTGAGGTGTTTTGTTGCCAATTGGCTAAAAACACTGTACCAAATCCTCCTTTACCAATCTCCTTTATGACATTTAATTTATTGAACGGAATCCATTCAATTGCTTTTTCTCGATTAGTAGCATAAAGTTGAAATTCTTTAATGCAATCATCAATATCTTTATTATCACTTGTCCACTCTCGAATTATTTTATAAGGATTACATGACAGACACCAATTTGTTGAAGTATTAAATCGATTACAATTTGAACATATTCCATTACAATAATTTCTTTTAGAAGCAAACTCATCATTTTTTTTGTCATTAATCGTATTTTCTAATACTATCATATATTTTCCAGTAGCTGGAAATTGCGTCATTCCGTATATTTTAATTGCATCATTTTTCAATTTCACTTGATTTTTAAACTTACAAAAAAAGTTCATATATTACGTATTAATTGAAATAAATTCATAAATAATTAAGAATCATAATTTTCAACTTACTTCGGTTAAAAAATCAAGAGAACTATGTAAGATTTTAAGTGTAACTACGCATGGTGGTGTACGTGATTGTGTGCATTTATTCTCATATACCTCATCTACAGAAATTATTCGTACACCATCTAGCCAAGTTGCTAAAAATTCATTACCATCTTTTTGAATATTATCTAATCTATTAAAAGGAATCCACTCAATTACATTCTCATATTTTGTGGTTTTAAGTTGAAATTCTTTAATACAATCATCAAAATTTTTATTTCCACTTGTCCATCCTTGTATTACTTTATAAGGGTCACATGTCTGACACCAAGCTGGCGATATATTGTATCGATTACAATGTGAACATCTTCCATTACAACTATTATTCCTTTTGGAATTAAAAAATTTATCCAATACCAACATATACTCATTAGTTGCTGTGTTTTGGGTTAGTCCACATACTTTATCATCATTTGTATAGTTCTCAAGCTTATTGAATTGGTAATATTATTTATAAGTACATAAAAATAAAGATGCACATGATAAAATTTTATCCTACCTCATTCGAAAGATTCATTGAATTATGAAAGTTATGCAATATTTTAAGTGTAACTACGCATGGTGGTGTTCGTGATTGTGTGTATTCTTCATATATTCCCGAAATTATTCGTATGCCATCTAGCCAAGTTGCTAAAAATTGATTACCATTCCTTTGGATATTATCTAATCGATTAAAAGGAATCCACTCAATTACATTCTCATATTTTGTGGTTTTAAGTTGCAATTCTTTAATACGATCATCAATATCCTTATTTTCACTTGTCCATCCTTGTATTGTTTTATAAGGGTCACATGTCTGACACCAAGCTGACGATGTATTGTATCGACTACAATGTGAACATTTTCCATAAAAACTATGCCTTTTAAAATCCAATACTAACATATACTCATTAGTGGCTTTGTTTTGGGTTAGTCCACATACTTTATAATCCCCTGTATAGTTCTCAAACTTATTGAATTGATAATATTATTTATAAGTACATAAAAATAAAGATTCACATGATAAAATTTTATCCTACCTCTTTCGAAAGATTCATTGAATTTTGAAAGCTATGCAATATTTTAAGTATAATTACGCATGGTGGCGTACGTGACTGTGTGCATTTTTCATATTTTCCTGAAATTATTCGTACTCCATCTAGCCAAGTTGCTAAAAATTCATAACCATTTCTTTGAATATTATCTAATCTATTAAAAGGAATCCATTCAATTACATTCTCATATTTTGTGGCTTTAAGTTGAAATCCTTTAATGCAATTATCAATATTTTTATTTCCACTTGTCCATCCTTGTGCTGTCCTAAAAGGGTCACATGTCTTACACCAAGCTTCGGATGTGTTATATTGGTTGCAATATACACATCTTCCATAAAAAAAACTGTATATTGCAGAATATATCTCTGACATATTATTGGATATATGTAATTTAATGGGTTGCAGATAGAGATTACTGTATAGTGAAATTGATTCACCAATTCGACATCACCACATCTTTATTGGTTGCACAGTAATAGCCCACGAATACTATTTCAGCTAAAGTATGTAGATCTAGCATTAGTTTTAATACGTATGACAATGTATGAAGATAAAGCAATTTTAGAATATAAAGAATTTAATACTAAAGTATATATTTATACTTGCGACGCATAGCTCCCTTGATCAACCAAATAGGAGGATCAAGTTTAATGCGAATTTTTTTTGAAAATCACTTATAAGTGCGCTTTTTGTACTAACAAAAAAGATTCTTTGGATTCGGAAGCTTTTAATTATCGCCTTATTTAAACCTAAACTTAATTCAGTTGCTGTTTATTATTTTAAGGACATTTTAATGAGAGGGTGAGATACATCACACTAGCGATGAATTATAATTTCCTTAAGAAAATTATTATAAAGCAGTTTAAAATTTATAAGTATTATATTTTTAAATAGTTTCTTTTGCTCAAAAGCAATATATACAATAAGTTAACATATATGATGTGCTCAGATATACTAAGTTATAGTCATAAATGAAACATTGCTTTTATTGATTAATTATTATTGCTACAAGTTCAGTGTTTTTAGTTATTTCACATTTATAGCCTTAATTTTCTTTAACTATGTTTTAATAATAATAATCACAATGTTTATGAATAAAAAAATGCTGAGTTGAAAAAATAATGCGAATGATAATAATGTGAATGTGAATGTAAATGATAGAAAAAAAAATGTATATGATCAAATAATAAAAAGAATGAAAAAAACAATGTTCAAAAAAAAAATTGTTCATCTTGAGGCGATGAGCAAACTTGCCATCAAATAAGCAAGATCCTCATTTGCCAAACATGTTGAACATAATTCATAATCGCATTGTTTACATTGTAAACGTCTTCCATAACAAATCTTTCTACATTCATCACACATCCACATTGTAGGAGTTTGCGCATAACGAAGAGGATGACGATTCTGGCAGCGACTTTTAGGTTCGCATATTTCACCAGGTTTACAATGGCTAGAACAAGCATCAAAATTGCAGGTGTCACAGTGATATGGAGAAGTCTATGGAGACACAGAATTAATTAAAAATTAAGAATGAATAAAGTTAAAAGTTAAAAAGTTGAAAAAGATTAAAAACAAAAAAAAAATTTAATATAAAAAAAATGAAAGACATACTGAAGTTAGACCATCTTTTCCACAGATATCACACCACCACTCACCATGACGATACTTTTGTTTCAAGTCATGACCGGCAAAACATTGAGGTGCAGGTGGTTTTATTATACTATTCATTGAACTAGATACATCGATCAATAAAGCATAATCAATGGCGACTTTACTGAGATTTCTATGCCTTTGAACTTCAGCCCATGATGCGTTATAGTTACCGACAGAAAGACTACCAAGAGAGAGAGATAGAGATGTAGTGATTTTATGGGCGATAGTCAGGAATACAAGTTCAAGAAGGAAAAAGTCTTTAACAGGAAAGTAGATGAAGTTGCCAGCACTAGCCATCTGATTTCATTTTTTTAAAACGTTAAAGCTTTGTGAGAAACCTCGCTTGTATACATGTATATAATAATATAATAATAAAAGTAAGATAATACCTGTTCCATTTTGGTTGAATTCACATCATCACCGACACCGACAAGAAACAAAAAGTTGCTAGAATCTTTAGTAAATAATCGAGATATTTCACTGGCAGATTTAAGTAAACTGAGACTACTGCCAGTGTCATCACCATCAGTTACAACAACCAAAATCCAAGGACGAGTTCGATCACCACTACTATGAAAGGTTTTTATGATATCAACAATACTATCATAAAGACGAGTGGAGCCACTAACATAGTTCTTTAAACTGTTAAGAGAACGATAAAGTATTGCTTCATCTCTAGTAAAATTCTGACAACAAAAAAAAAAGAAATTGGAGAAAAAAAATTTAAAAAAGAAAATTATAAAGTATAGAAAAAGTATAGAGATAATAAAGAGAACATCTTTTACCTGTCTCACAACCATTCTACTATTAAATGTCGCAATGCACCCACGATCCAAACCATCGCGGTGTAAATTCTTTACAAGTTCATTACTTGCCTTGATTGCGCAACTGATTTGGGTGTTTTCGGTGCCTCTTGTAACCAACGCCATTATTTTTTTGCTTGAACTTTCTGGAGAAATCGCGTTGATTTATAGAAATAAATTATTATCGTGTGCAGTACCATACTGTAATCCTTTTTCGGAATGTTTTTGAAATTATGCCGTTTCAAAAATAATCGTTGTCAGTCAATTGGTTATTTTTCACCACGCGGTTAATTATTTAATTAATGACGAGTATCGTGCGATCCTTTTCATAAATATAATCTTCAATCTCGTATTGTGTCTTTTGTATAATTACTTATTTTGTCCATTCATTTTGATCACAATTTACTTTTTGTACGTATATACGAATTCGAAATAGGTAAATTGGTTACATTTTTTGTGGTTAAAGGTAAGTTCGGTTGATCAAACGTACTGTATATGTACGTACATAGGATTAAGCACAACAAAAAGAGAAAACGTTGTCTACACAAATAAATGCTATAGTATTGTACTTTACATGTAGATTTACAACTGCATTTCGACCCCAAATGGTTCAACTTTAAAGGCTGAATGTTCTACACATCAAATGTGGATATCTTTGAGAATAAGAGTGATCATACATATACTAATTTAAGAATATTATCAAGCTGTTGGGTGGCGGCCTCAGTCCATGCAACAGGAACGTGGGCTTGTATGAAATTAACAACTTCGAAATGAGAAACATAGTTTAAAAAATCCTGAAATTAGACATCCCGCTAATTTAGGAAAAAAATTAAAGTTGTTGCTTACTATACTTCATTTTAATCATGATATAGAGTTAAAAAAAATCAAAATATTTGAGCTGTTTATTGTGATTCTTATCATGATCAAAGCAAATAAACATTTTGCGTGATTTGCTTTGATGATGTCTGCATATTAAATTACACCATGATGTAATCAGTATCCACTGTTTATCACATGAATTTGGTAAATCCTAAGCGTTAGTGTTAGTGTTTGAATTGGTGGTGGGTCAAAAAGATCAAATGATCCTCTATATTCGAGGAAAACCAGACTTTGGGCTTTCAAGCTTATTACCTATCGAAGATATATATGATGTGTAATTAAATTTACTTACGTATTTCTGATCAAAGCTCATAAGCAAACGAGCCAATTATAGATATTAATAAAGAATTTGAGAGGTCAAAGAAGACATATACGGAAGCAAAGGGATAACTGCAATAAATAAGAATGCATGTGTTATATTTCTAACCAAGAACACAAATGAGTAAGACACAAATACAAATCTTTAATATAATTTTAAATCTTCAGTAGAGAGTTCTTTAGCACAGCTTTCTATTAAAGTCAAAATTATAACGATAATGTTTTATGCAAAATTTAATGAGTGTTGCCAAGATAAAATTGGATGTTTAGCATATTACATACTAAATATAGTTATTTGTTTATTTCTTGTTTAACAACCAATTTGTTGACTGCAAGCTTAGTATCTACCACGACATTTATATTTGCCTTTCTACATTTTCTATATTTATTATGGTTGTATATGATGCCTGTTCATGAGTGATAAACAATATGGAATAACTTCGATTGGTTAATTTTATTCAATTAAACATATAAATATATAGACCGATTTGATTCCAACGATAACTGTTACACGAATTTTTGCTACGTATTAAATGACTTAACAAAAAAATAAATAAATAAAAATCAATAAAATAGCTATGCTAAGCTGTAAAAGAAGACTGTAATTAAACATTAAATATTTATAACTCTCTATATATTTAGTCATGAATTCAAAGTTTGATGACCGCTCTTATATGAAATTTGATTCGTAGTCATTTTTAACAAAAAGTTTTTAATCATGATTTGCAAATTTTGGATCAAACCAAATTGGTGCATATGTCGGTCTAGTGTCAGAATAATTTCGAAATGTATCATTTTGCAAGTAAAAAAATATCAAATTTAAAATTATATACTGTTTCAAGAAAGTGATAATAATCTTATTAATCAAACAATTTGTCACTCAGTTCATCGCAAGTTCATTTGTGCTTTTCGCGGAGTCTATCGCTATGGGCAATTTTATAAACGGCGATCTAAATATACCTGCTGTTAAAGCATAAATAAATCCAGAACTTCCAAAAAAATAATCGCTACTTATGAAAAATTAGGTATGCAAGCAACCTAAAGACATCACAAAATAACTACTCCTCAACAAACACTAAGCATGAATTCATAAAAAAAATCCGTAATTTTGTAAAATATTAAGTTGTTGATTTTATTTTTATTATTATTATATGCGCAAATTTAAATCTATGATTAACCCTAGCTGCCACAACTAAATTGTGTCCTGGCTGATCCTCGATTTTGATTGGCAAAATTTTGGCCCGCATTACATAATTGTTTACTAATTCTGGCCGGGATTAACTTTTTAACCTTTTCATTCCAAAAAGGGAAATTTCCAAATAAATATGCCCACACAATGGTAAAATTAGCCCAGGAACAATTTTCACTTAATGGGCGGCTGTGATTTCATTAGGAAAATTTCGAATAATTTCACCAGGACAATTTTGTTGCAATAAAGCAATGTACGCTGCCGATCCAAATTCAAGTCGCAATAACTCTTGAACTAACAAGCCCACACAAATAAGATTATACTTGTCGAGTTTGTTTTAACATACTTTTTTAAAGTAATTACACTCTTTTTTGGGGTTTTTATCAAATATCCGATATTTTTTATCTTAAGTTAAAAACTGAAACCTCTATAAGAAAGTTGTGTTACACAGATTTCAATGTTACGTATTTGATTTTTTTTAGAGGAATTTACAAATAAGGGCCCGGAAAGTGAAAATAATTAAAATACGGACTCTAAAGATAATTACACATGAGTGCCTAATTTTAATATTACCTATAGGGCCTAATTCTATTGATGGATGAAAAACGTGATCACGGAACTACAGTTCCACAAAGTGCTATGACCATTTGACTTATATCAAAAGCAAAATCGCGATTATTGAGTTATTGTTTGTTTTATTATAGCCATTTAGAGTTATCTACATATCAATTATTAGATAAAAATAAATGAAACGCTGGCTACAATCATTTTCGCTTAAATATTGTATAAAAAATAGTGTTTTGTTAAACAAGCACAATTATTTATAAGACGATGAAGTTTCAACAGAGTAGCCCTCAAGAGCAGAATAATTATCTAAATATTAGTGAATGTTATTCCAATTCGCAGTGCTTTACTTGATATCATAGTGGTTTGTTATAACAATAACCGATTTTATACAAAGAAAATGAAATTTATTAAATTTAAAATAAATTCTTTTCTCATTTATAATTACTAATTTACTAACTTTAAAAAAATTTCTTTTCTCGTTTATAATTATTAATTTACAATCGATCGTTCCATTTTTTATATACTTGATAATTACTAATAACGATCAAGCCATAGGCTTGAATAATGTCGCTGTTTTTTTGGGCCCTTATATGTAATATTTTTTAAAACTTACGCCTTTTATGTAATTATTTTTAATTTGGACCTTTATTTGTAAATTCCCTAAAAAAAAATGTATTAGAAATTGATCGATATGATTACTGGCGATTGGTGGTATTAGTGTTATGTTCCTTAGAAGATTCTAATGTGATAGTTTCACAAATGCAACATATGGTTACACGATTTTCCCGACGAGTTCGTTTAATAAGTGGATATTGAATCTTAGAACTCATTAAATTACCTTCAATTATTATGTTAGAAGCAATTTTTGGGACAAATCAACTTTTACTGTATGGGAAATGTTTACATTGTAATCGATACAATACATCTGATGTTTGGTGTCAGACGTGTAACCCTCAAGGATGGACAAGCGGGAATAATAATATCGATGATTGCATTAAAAAAATTCAACTTAAACCCACAAAATATGAGAATGTAATTGAATGGATACTTTTAATAGATTAGATAACATTCAAAAGAATGGTAATGAAATTATAGCAACTTAGCTAGATGGCATTCGAATAATTCCTGAATTGGATCGGTATACATGGTATACGCAGTATACACAATCATGTACACCACCATCGTAGTTACACTTAAAATATTACATAGTTTCATGATTCAATATATCTTTCAGAAGAGGTAGAATAAAATTTTATCATATGTACCTTTCTTTTTATGTATTATACTTATAAATTATATTTTCCAATTCAATAAGTTTAAGAACTATACAAAGGATGATAAAGTATATGGGCTAACCCAAAACACAGCTACTAATGAGTATATGTTGGTATTGAATTTCAAAAGGAATATTTCTAATGGAAAATGTTCACATTGTAATCGATACAATACATTTTCAGCTTGGTGTCAGACGAGTGACCCTTATAAAGCAACACAAGGATGGACAAGTAGAAATAAACATATTGATGATTGTATTAAAGAATTTCAACTTAAAACCACAGAATATGAGGATATAATTGAGTGGATTCCTTTTAATAGATTAGATAATATTCAAAGAAATGGTAATGAATTTTTAGCAACTTGGTTAGATGGCATACGAATAATTTCTATAAATGAGGTAGATGAGGATAAATACACACAGTCACGTATACCACCATGCGTAATTATACTTAAAATACTGCATAGTTTTTACGATTCAATGGATCTTTCGGAATAGGTAGGATAAAATTTTATCATATGTATGGTACAAATAAGTCTCAATTCGATCACATTTTCAGAAATTGGTTCTGATGTAACGGGAGATCTAGAGTGATATAAAAGCCTGTAGTATGCTCTCTTGACCAAACTTTTTGGAAGCTTCGCTATAATGGGGTTGTAATCAGGATGAAACATTAACTATTAGTTTGCGCACAAAAAGTTTGCAGGCAAAAATTAAGAATAAAAATAGCTATTAATCATCACGAAATCGTAGTGAATAAAAGTCTAAAGACGTTAAAAAAGCTCGAAGGCATGTGTCAAGATAACGGAATTTTCCTACTCGAGGTATAGTAAATCGTCATTCCGGAAAGAATACAAAAAATCATGTGTTTCGTTAATCAGGTATCCAAAATTTTCAATCTGTCAATTCATAATATATAAATTTTAATATCTAAATCGCAGACAAGTGTTTAATATAGACCTCATAATTTTTCGGTACTTCATACAAATACGAAGGACCCGAAGCCTTCGCAAAGTAGTCTGGATTTAGATTTTTTCGTCCACATATTTAGCAATTAAAATTGGTAATTATTTTTTTAACACATTGTAAAATAACTCAGTATAGTAAAACTTTATTTATTTGCATTACAATTGTTACATTCATAATACTGCATATAAAAAAGTGTAAAACATCAGGATCATGACGCGTGCCACAAAGTCAATATAATAACTACTATTCTCGATTTCGAATAATAGAATAAAAGATGGAAATGATTATGCATTATCTTGTCCACTTAAAACTAGTTGTTGAACTTGATACAGATCAATAATAAAATTAACAGGCGCAGTTTCAATTGTAAGAGGAGTAGGAACAGCTGGTACGTACTCAACTGCAGGTGAAAGTGGAAGTACTGGATCCCAAAAGACTTGTGCAATTGGGATAATGACTTGATATTGAGGAAGGTTGGGTGCATTACAAGTAGTAGGAGTTTGTTTTTTTCGAATAAGAGTTCCAAACTGCCACTAAAGGTATTTAAAAGATGTTAGATTATTCAACTATTAAAATATAAATTACATACTAGCTTCATACCTCCTGGTACCCCGCTCCCTGTTGCCACAATCTAGCTGTCATAGATCTATGATATTGCCCAAGATCAT